TGTGCCCCTGTTATGTAGCCCAGTCAGTGTGCCCCTGTTATGTAGCCCCCACAGTAATGCGGTGTGATACGCAGGCCGCTCAGCAGCGTCTGTGATACCGAGCCCCCAGAGTAATGGGGTGTTTGTTGTTCCCCGCAGCTCTGGGAGGGAAGGCAGCGGTGCGACAGAACCAGGATGAACTGGTCAGGAAGGGGCTGGCGAAAATGGTCAAGGCAGGTGAGACAGAGGAGTCTAGGAAAGAGGACGTGGGCGCGAGGCGCAGCATCTTCTGAGTACTTTCACGTGCTTTTCCCCACGTACCTCAACTTCAGGAGTCTTGCTTAGGACTTGTGGTGTCTGTGAGATTTCTATGGACTGGCACAGCTGTGACTCAGGATGCAGCAGGGGGGGTCCCGAGCTGCTTTGCTCTTCAGTTTGTAAATTAGCGTTTAATCACGGTAGGTGATTATAGGTGATCGTCTTAGGAACTTGTCGCCCCGCAGACTCTGCACTGGCCTGCGGGACAAGCCCAGAGGAGCCCGGCACCCCCACCCAAGAGCAGTCCGACGGGGAGGAGAGAGAAGAGGATCCCCTTGTTTCTCAGGTCAATCTGAGGAACACGGAGGACCTGGGATCTGAGGAAGACTCCTGTTCAGGTGAGACATCTATCAGGAGAACGGGGACAAAGAGGTTTGAACTCCATCAAAATCTGAATGGAATTTGCCAGAATCAGACATCACATGAGATTTTTAATTTAAAAACAAAACAGTACTTTTTTCCTTGCTTAAAATACAGTTATATGGTTAATAAAGAAAGAGACTATGTCAGTTTTGATTCTGAAATATGAAACATAGAAAATCAAATTAGATAGGAAAAAAAGTTCCAGAGCATGAACATGTAATTCTAACACTAACGTTGGATACTTATACCTGTACCTGACTGTACATGTATATTTCATCTTAAAACAGTGAGTAATAAGGGCAAAGACAGTGACATACTGTAAAGGTAACAGTATGTGTGGCTGATGTAATTCATAGAATAACCACTGGGTGGTGATAGAGGCAGCAGAAATCAAGCGATGGTCAAGCGACTGCGTATCGTATAGGAATACACTTGATATACATGTACATGATAATTGACACTGCAGACACTCCCCGAGTAACGATGGGGTTACATTGCGATAGACCTAGCATTTTAATACAGTACACCTAACCTAACAAACATCCTAGCCTAGCCTAGCCTACCCTAAACATGCTTAGAACACTTACATTAGCTTACAGTCGGGCAAAATCGTTTGTTGTAAAGTGTTGAATATGTCATGTAATTTACTGAGTAACGCACTGAAAGTGAAAAACAGAATGGAATTGGAATATACATTGTAAAGTCGAAGTCTTGTAAGGTGGACCATCGGAACCCAGGGAACGTCTGTGCTTAATGTGTAGTGCGTAAATATTTCAGGATGTGTTGTCCTATCATCATGATGAATTCTCTTTAAGTGCGACATTCCTCAGAGGATGATGAGGTTGCAGTGGATCAAAGTGACAATGTGGGTGAAGAAACGGAAAACGAAAAGGATGGAACTCCAGCCGACTCCCCTGCCTGTAGCCTTATTGGAGCGGTTGTGGACCAGGAGAGGGCAGTAGAAGGTGGAGAAGACCCACCCAATGGAGATCCCAGCCCCTCTGCACCACCGGCAGTGGCAGTCAAGCTGCTCACGCGGTTGGGAAGTCTGGAAGGTGAGTAGCATGATGTTCGTCCAGAGGTGCTACATTCAGGACCAGCAGATTCCTTAATTCTTACATTTGTATGCAATAGTAGCTGTACCGGTAGACCCTGGAAAGACCTCGCCTTCCTCGAAGACCTCGATCACGCCCAAAGAGACGCCATGGGGCCCTGAAACAGTACGAATACAGGGTTCCACACCAACAGGCTCACCCCACCTTGGTGTCCTGCAGCCACAACTGCCCCCTAGCTGCATCATCGAGGAATTGCATCGAGCCCTGGCAACCAAGCACCGGCAGGACAGGTAACGATTGCAGCTCCAGGGCCCCTAAAGCCCCGGTGTGCTTTGCAGGTGGCTAACCGCTGCGCACCTGTCCCTCAGTCTCCACGGCAAGGAAATTCGTTCGTCGCCTAAACGCCGATCAGACGGGCGCCTCTCCCGCACTTCCAGCACAGAGAAGGAATCAGCCGGGGATGCAGAGAGCAAGAAGGAGTCCGACGAGAACAAGGAGAACCTGCGGCTGGATGAGTATTACAGCGACACCTCTGGGCTGCTTCATGACCAGGACAGCTGGAATGAGTCTGTCATCTCAGGTGAGACCTGCAGCTCCTCCGGTGCTTGGGATCTGATCCCATACAAATGCTCAATCAGTCAGTGCCACTAAAACTAAAATACATGTCAATACATAGTGTTACATTTGCCACCAGTGTGCAGTTTTGTCTTCTGCGTACCTACTGGCGATTTACATTTTTAATGAAAAGGGGATTATGATGCTTTTAAGAGAACCAGCATGTGCTAACCCTGATTCCCGGGAGGATTTACGTGACATTCTGTATCCTCCAACTGGGTCATTGTAGATACATGGACCTCAGCTGACACTGAGGCACAGGGCAGTTTGTGTGCTCAAGCTGTGAAAGTCAGTTACTTTCCACAATGAATTTGCTTGGTTTTTCATTTAGTCTTTGTAAATCTTAATAATGTAGCACTTGTGTTTCTCAAGTCAAGTCAGGTTTATTTCTATAACACATTTTAGAACAAACAGTGGTTGGCCAGAATGAATAACACGTACAACATAAAGTGTGTCTTGTTTACTGTTCTACATGTCTGCGTAAGGGATACAGTTAATGAATATAACTTTTATTAATTGCAATATATGTGTTTCTATTTTTCATGAAATTATATTTAATTCTATTATGCCGGGTTTATTACATGTGAAGATACAGCAGTACTAGACTGACACAATCAGCCAAGAGTAATACTGTTTGTCCCTTTATGATTTTTTTTAGGAAGGAAAGAAAAATTTTATCATTAGAGTAAGAGTTCGCTTGATACTGTTAGTATGATCCACTTGTTTTTCATTGTCACGTGTAATTTTTTAATGACAAGTACTTCATTCACAAAGTGAGAAATGGCAGAAGTGATGCTTCGCAAATGGGACTTGTGATTTCTGTTAATCTCTCGAAGTCTAACATTCTGCCAGTTCAGCTGTTGCTGGCACGGCCCATGTGGCATGACGTTGTTTATTTTCTCACTATTTGCTCATTAGCTATTGTACCTTGCTGAGCAGTTTCACACTTCTCAGCCAATATCATGCCCGCTGAAAACAGCCCCAGCACCATTACTTTAAAAGTACTGAGGATTCATTACGACTATTTCAGCATATGACCACACATGGAAAGCTTCAGTGAAGCATATTAATGTACAGGATTGGAAGGTTTAGGTCCAGAAAGTTAAAAATCCAGACCAGTATTTTGTTTCAACCAACCAAGTGAGTACTCTGTGACTGTGACTCTTCAGACTCAACTGGTACAGTAGGTCGAAACAAAATCTTGGTCTGGATTTTTGCTTTCTGGATTTTACTTTCCACCTCTACTAGTATATAGTAATATACTGTGAGCAGGACATTCAAACTGGAGAAAATAACACTATAGAGAAATTATATTCAAATAATTAATATTAGTATGTAAATTTTAAAAAATCATATTACAATTGACATTTTAAAGGAGGAAATTGTCCTGTGCTTTGTGTGTTTCTGCCATTAGTATCCAGACTGTTCATGTCCCTTTACGCAAACAGGGAGCATGTTTGGCACTGTGGATATTTATTGAGTGAAAGTTTGTATTTGTTGTATCAGGAACGTTGCCGCGGAGGATGAGGAAAGAGCTCCTGGCCATCAAGCTAAGAAACCGACCCAGCAAGCAGGAGCTGGAAGATCGTAATATCTTCCCCACGCGCAGCGACCAGGAGAGGCAAGAGATTCGGCAGCAGATTGAGATGAAGCTCGCCAAGTGAGTCGGCAAGACTGCCCCATTGTTACGCTCCTCTCTCATCCTCATCGCCACCATGTGCACCTTCCCGTGTGGTTTCTCCTAGAGTCACCTCCTATTGGCTCTTTCCTTTCATTGAAGCATTTCCTGCATTTTGGCACTTTTTTTATTTGCTGTTTGCTTGACTCTCCCCTTTGGACTTCATTACCCTTGGATTAGGTATCAGTTGTCATAGGATCTGTCTTCCTGGTTCAACCTTTTTGTAACTCCTCATATTTGGTTTTTTGCTCTCATTGGCTCTTCTTAGGTGTCATTATACATTGTTATGTGCTCTCATTGGCTCTTCTTAGGTGTCATTATACATTGTTATGTGCTCTCAT